CCTCTTATAAATTAAGTGATTCATTGTGGACAGGAAAATTAGGACCTTAAGTACTCTGAATGTATCAGTGTTTCGAAGCACAGTTTTATGAATGCTTTGCAGTTTGTGTTTATAACATTTTCCTACACAACATAATTGCTTTTCTTGGAATAACTACATTTGCACAAAACTCTTGCTACACAGAAAGCAAATTAAAACACTAATCCCCAATTAAGAATACATTAATAAAAATATTTTGAACAGGTTTTTGTATGCATGCATACACACTGTTTTATGCTCAGCAGCCATACTGGTCTAACAAGAACGTGTGAATTTAAAACCAAATGAAAGCCTGTTAGGTGCTAACATCAAGACCTAAACCTCACTCCTGCAAAAATACCATCAGCATTACAGGATGTTAAATTGATGAACCCAGAATAAGACGACCAAATAACGAAGTAAAAATGAACCGAGCAAAACGCAGTACTTTATGCAGCGGGCAACAGAATAACAGCGGCAACATAAACCTCAGCAACTCAAACAACAATTGATTCAAATATCAATATACTGCTACTGATTCAAATCAAAGGTATCCCATGAAACAGTCAAAAGAAAAGGGCAATCGGTTTGAAATCAAAGTAGGGCTGCCAGCATCATAATCTTCCCAGACGTCTTTATGTTTCACCTGTAAAACCTTGTCTGTGAATTAAAAATAACTACATTAAAAAACCCCAAACTACAGGAGGTTTTTTTGTTTGTTTTTACTGGCACAATTAACATTCTTCTCGCCAACAGCAGACTACCTGAAAGAAAAAGCTAGCATACCCAAACACTTGAACACCAAGTTACACAAAGCAAAACAAATACAGGCTTTAGACTAGTTGCATGTCTTCTAAATTTCACCTGGATGCAGGCCACAGGCGCTAATTTGGGTAGTGTAATAGTACAGATATCTGCTTGAAATAAATACCAAAAAAATTGTGCTGAAATATTGTCTATTGTATAGGCAATCATTCTTTGCTTCATTCTAAATAGCCACTTGCTACCAAGGGTTTTCCTTATACGTTTAAGCAAAAGACTGGTTTATATTCCATTTCACAAACAGCGACTTCTAAATAACCTGAATGAAAAATTTAAGAGCATTTATGAAATGGTATCAAGGAATTTCCCATCACAAATCTCAGACTCAAATATCACACCAATTCTCTGCTCTTCTCGATTTCTCTCAAGTCATTAAAAATTATATGTCCGTTTCTGCTCTTGGAAATTCTCACGGGGAGCGTCATGCTGCAATGCTCGGGAAAATCCTGAAACATAAAAAAAACTCCAAACCATATGAAAATCAGGGAACGCTATATATTTGATCTTTATCTCAGCTACGCCACATTTGCTAACTACATCCTCTCCCCTCATTCTGGGTACTCCCTATAGTCTTCCCTTCCTTAAGCCACAGTAAAGCCTCATAATAGCCAAGGAAGCAGCTTAGCAGTCCTACCAGGGGCTAAGCGCACCAGCATGATGTAACGCTGAGCACATTTAACCTTCACAGGTCTGAGGACATTACCTTCCAAAATCCATCGCTGCTACCATTGCCTATCACCTGCCTACTCAAGCATGCAAAAGGAACATTAAAAACAGAGCGGCAATAGCTTAACACAAAGAGACATAACCTCAGATGGAAAGTTTTGAAATAAGAATCAGCAACTTGGGGCAGAGGTACACTTTTCAAACCAAGTAACTTGTGCAGATGGCACAAGTGACCCACCATACCATTGTTACTTCCCTGTTGCAGTATAGAAATAGGGCACACTGTGGAAAGCTTTCCGGAAGGCTATTAATCTCAGTGGTATACCAAACGTTTTCAGTAAGAAAAAGGAAAAAAAGCTCTATATTTTTCTCATTATCATACAGAATTTGGCTAGACTCCTGGACAATAAAAATAACAATGATTTATAAACAAACTGTAGAACCAAAGAGGCAGAAAAATGCAGAAAAACTCTTGGGCAATAACTGCAGCAAAAAAAGCATGGAGGCACCAAGTCAGCACACCTTTGGTATTAACACTTTGGCACTGGGAAAAGGGACTAAATTAGAGTGGGTGTATTGCAAGTTCTGATATGGGTGCCCAGAACAGAATAAAAAATAATAACAGAAAAAAAACATAAATTGAAGCTTGGTAATGCTTTAAATGACAGCCAGTAGTCACCACACTCGGGGAAGAAAAAAAAAAGGTGGGGGGGGAAATTATCCAGAGACTGGGAAGAAAACAGAATAATGAGGTATTGAGTTCACTGAGCATAAAACATCCAAGTAGCCAGTTATTAAAACTCTCGAAATAGCCATTTTGGAGGGAGAATCTCGATCAGCACAGCCTGCTGTCATCTCTCAGTACTACGTTACTGGGAAAGTGGGAAAGGAAGAACAGCCCCTATCATGCAGGGGCCAACTTAAGTGCTGTCTGTGCCTCCCTGATACAGACTGAGTCAGGAGCTCTCCAAGTTTAAATAACATCTGTAGTTAAAAGCAGACATTAAAAAGTTAACTTAGTCATGCCATTATATCAAACAGGGAAAAAACCCAAACAAACGTTGGCACAACACAGTATTTTTTTGTTAAGTTTCTGCTGTAGTGTGCCAGATGGCTTAAAAGCAACTATTTTCAAAGTTCAGACGGTGTAAAGTTTGCTTTTTTCTTTTTTTTCAACACATACAAAAAGGTCTCAGTGGGCAGCTTTTTTCCTAAAAGTATTGTTTTACTAACTAAATTAATTAAACAGCCTACATTCGTCTACTTAAGACTAAAACTAGTTTTCTGACATTCTTTTCTATGCACGCTAGAAAAAATACCAGTCAGGAAGGATATAGGAGTCCTCAAATTCCTCTGTCACCACTCTTGCTGGTGCAGGTGTAAATACGGGACCACACTGCAGAGCAGGAGGAGACACACAACAGAGAACACCAAGCTGGGTGCTCACCATGCAGCAAGTGAGACCCCAACCCATCAATCCTCACAAGATGCATCTTGCACATGATCATGCTGCATCCTTTTCACCATCTCTGCTCCTCCAAAGCATGCATAAGACACAGCTACTCACGAAAAATACCCCAACCAAAAAAGCCACCCGACTTCAGAGAGACACAGACATCAAGCCGAAAGGTCAAACAAGAAACCCAGCTGGAAACTTCGGTTTCTGGCGACGATCTGGTGGAAGCAGGCAGCCTCCATCCACCCAGCTCAGCACGGCCCGCCGTGCTTACGCCAGCCAAGCCACCGTTTCTTCACGTCACCAGTCCCCAGCAGAGACACGGGTCCCGCTGCTTCTCTACGCTCAGCACCCTGAGAGGAACGTGAAGGAGGAATTTCTGGTCCCTTGCGTGCAACCACCTACACGTTGCCTCCAAGTCTGCCAGGTGCTCACACACGCGCGCCTAAGGATACAGGTATATAGTGAAGTTAAACCTCAGTTCGAGGTAACGTTTTCGTCCTACGAATAGAAACGACCAGAGGCTAGATCCATTACCAGCTCTCCAGTGGGAACCAACGGCTTGCCGTGCTGGCGTAGCTGACCCGCAACCGCACGACCAACTGTCCAGCTCCGCCTCATCTGGCTTGGGAAGAGGCGTCTTCAAAGAGACGACCCCAAATCATCTCTGCACACAAACCGCGTTACGGCATCTTGTCCCCCTTCGCCTCCAGGCGCGCTCCCCAGGCACGGGGGACACGAAGGGGGCCGGTTGAAGGGGCGCAGGTGTTTTTCTCCTTTTCTCTCGCTTTGACGAAGCACACGTGCGTGTACGACGGGGTTTCACCCACGCTCGTCGCGTTTAAAGGCCGAGGCAGCTCTCCCGGCACGCCGGGGACGGGCAGCCCGCCGCGGACCCGCTCCC